TATACACTCGACATGTGTTTTGGTTAAATCCAGTTTATTGACACGTGGTCGGTGAAAGCATGAGAAGGACTAATTTTCTTCTTCCTTAGTCGATGCTTTGTTGGGCTCATACTGGGCTTGTCTTCTTACTGTAAAACTCATGTTGTGAAACTGTGGGCCTTTTGTTTAGGCTCGGTATGCTGTATGTTGTGAGTTTTTAATAAAATCTTCCTAGTGACAAAAAAAAAAAGATTAAGCATATCAACAAAGGAATTATTGCACATTTAGGCACTTTCCTCAACTTATTTGTGTCTTTAGACACTTTCAAAGGAGAAGGCACTTTGCCAAATCAAATTGTCCAATTTGCCCTCTTAACTACAACTCTCTCTCTCGTCACCATCTCTTCTCCATCATCTTTCAGTTTTTCGGCAATAAACCCTAAAAGAAATTGAGAGGAGCTTCTCATATCTAATTAGTTCCGTCTGTCGAAAATAAATCCCATAGACATAATCAGTAATTCAATCGATTGGGTTGCTTCTGCTTTCTGGATTTCTCCGACAGAAACCCAATCTCCGACTGGGTTGCTTCTGCTTTCTAGCACCACCACCTTAATTCTATCCGTCCTCGAATTGAATCGTCCATAGGTTATTGTTTTAGTGGTGTGAAACCCAATTCTGTTTTCTTTGGCAATCACCTAACAGTCCGAGAGAACGTGAAAGAAGACTGAAGCACGACCAATGAGAGGCTTATACTGAACGACAACGTGGCTAGTAACTAACTCGACCAGACTGGTATAAATCGTATTGCTAGGTTTATATTCAGTTCACAAAAAGAGAGACAAGACTAATCAATCTTGGCATGGCAAAAAGAGAGACAAGGCACAAAAGGAAAAGTAAGTAGCTGAAGTTCATAATGTAGCTATTTCACCAGCTTAACAACCTTGGCATGTCAATTACAGATTGAAATGAAATGATTTTTTGGGGTATCATGACCAATCAATCTGGTTAATCTTATGCGTTTAGGAGCTTGTTGATGGTTGATTCGCTTATTGATGGAGTTTGTTGCTAAGTTAATGTATTTTCTACGCTTTGTGTTTAAGATATATATGTTAAATTTGGTGCAAAATCGATGGATTACTTCAAGTTTCTTTAAATTGGGTACTCTTGTTTTATCGATGAATTTGAGATCGATGAGTCTGTTGTTTCATTTAGCCCTTTAACCGCCATGGTTGTTTTGGAAGCTTTGCTTTATAGACTTTCCTGTGTCCTCCGGTTCCGATTAGGTGTTTTGGATCAAATTCTCCTATCGTTTTGATGATTTCTTGGATCGGACTTTGTCGTCGAGGCTGAAGATTGATAGTTTTTCTCCTCCGGATTTTGAATCTATGTGCTCTTCGATTTGTTTGGTTCTTTACCAAAACACATGAAGTTTCCGGCACAGACGGAGGATTACAATTGCTTCGATGATTGAAACTAGTATGTAGATATTAAGTTTTCTTCTTTGTCTTTCATGCTTTGTCTTTCAAGATTAATGAGTTTTGTATAGGGGTAAGTAAAGAAAAGCATGGTCAAGTTTAAGTGAACAAGTTATCATGATAAAATTGGTTTTAAAAAAAAAACATAAGGGTAAGTAAAGAATGATGATTTTGACCAAAGAGATATTGTGTGGATAATCCATCTTGAGATGTTTGGTAATTAAAATCAAACTTGGACTTGTATTTAGAACTTCAAAATCCAATCGAGAAGATCTAAAAAAAGTATTATGTTTAGTTTGTGTAAACATCTGTCTTGGTATAAAACGACGACCATGTGAGTCACAAGATGACCATATGGATTGCACAGCTTGGACAAACATCAATAAACAACGTATATGGTATGGATCCATTTTATAATGATGGTAGTGTCCACTCACAAGTGAATATTGGTCAAAGAAAAATGGATGGTGTACTTTTAGTTGCCGATTATCGTTCATATATATTTAAAAGAAGTAAAATATCGGTTTGGGTTTAGTAGGTAGAGGTAGGGTTTAGTGTTAACCCTTTAAACCAAACTTTTATCTCGTTTTAGGTTTATATTGTTTACGAAGTTAGATATCGGTTTGGGTTTAGTAGGTAGGGATAGGGTTTAGAGTTATATATTTAAAAGAAGTTAAATATCGGTTTTGTTTAGTAGGTAGGGGGTAGGGTGTCCATTTAAATTTAATAATTTTGGTTTTAGATTTATGGTTTAGGGTTTAAAGTTTCACTTACCCTTTGAAAATCAATCAAATGGTAAATTCAATATTTTTGCTTCTTAATTATGTGCAAACAAACTTATGTATTGAAGATTATCGTTCATGTATAAATTTGTGTATTTGTATGAAACTACCATGTGAATTACTAGATGACCAGTTGGACTTGATTTGTTTGACACTAATTAATGGACAACTATGTATTTGATTTGATGCGAATGAGTTTTATCACTTGGTAAAATTATCAATTTTTTTATGGTTACGATATAGGCACTTTGGAAAGTTAGATATCGATTTGGTTGCTTGGGTTAACAAAGTATGGTCTAGAGTATACTTATCTATATTGAAACATGAATTAAGATAAAGTTGGGAAATAGGGTATAGGGTTAAGATTTTGTTGCTTGGGTTTACTAGGTATTATCTAGGGTATAGTTATCTACATTGAAAAAAGAATTAAAACAAAGTACAATTTTATTAGTTAACTAGTAGTTATGGTTATTGCTTGGGTTTACTAGGTATTATCTAGGGTATAGTTATCTACATTGAAAAAAGAATTAAAACAAAGTACAATTTTATTAGTTAACTAGTAGTTATGGTTATTGCTTGGGTTTACTAGGTATTATCTAGGGTATAGTTATCTACATTGAAAAAAGAATTAAAACAAAGTACAGTTTTATTATTTAACTAGTAGTTATGGTTATTGCTTGGGTTTACTAAGTATTATCTAGGGTATAGTTATCTACATTGAAAAAAGAATTAAAACAAAGTACAGTTTTATTAGTTAAAAAGTAGTTATGGTTATTGATTGGGTTTACTAAGTATTATCTAGGGTATAGTTATCTACATTGAAAAAAGAATTAAAACAAAGTACAGTTTTATTAGTTAAGTAGTATCCATGTACAAGTGAACCAATGGTCAAAAGACAAATGGACACCCTAAACATCTAGAGTTTAGTGTTATATATTTAAAAGGAGTTAAATATCGGTTTGGGTTTATATTGTTAACGAAGTTAGATATCCGTTTGGTTTACTAGGTAGGGATAGGGTTTAGTGTTATATATTTAAAAGAAGTTAAATATCGGTTTGGGTTTAGTAGGTAGGGAGTAGGGTTTAGTGTTATATATTTAAAAGGAGTTAAATATCGGTTTGGGTTTATATTGTTAACAAAGTATATCATCCATTTTTCTTTGACCAATATTCACTTGTATACGGACAGTCACTTCATTATATAGCATTTAGTCATTTTTTAAGTATTAAGATCACAAATCTAAATGTCAATTATATGGCTGTTATGTATATGGACACTCTCATCATTATATAGCATTTAGTTGTTTATTTTTAACCATGGAGATTCTGCATTTAGTTGTTTATTTTTTGTTTCTTTATAAATACTAAGATGCTTGCAAACTTTGCTTACTATTCCATACGGTTACATCTGGTACATGTGGATTAGCAAAATATTGTAAACAAGTCCATATATATGTTTCCATTCGGAAACCTTTTTACTGAGCCATATCCATTCTACCGAAAATTTTACAGAGTGATAATTTTACCGAGAATTTTACAAAGTGATAATTTTACCGAGAGATAAAACACATTCACAGCAAATCAAATACACAATTATCCATTATTGAGTGTCCAACCAGTCGAGTCCACATGGTCATCTAGTAACTAACATGGTCGTTTTATATCAATACACAAATTTATACATGGTCGTCTTCATTTGTGATGAACAAACCAAAATTTTAATAAATTATTCAACCTGGTTACAAAAATTCATAAAAAGACCAATGATAAAAAATTAGACACAAAATAGCCATGTACGAATTCGTATCTATTTTAGCCACAAATTGTAACATAAAAATATTGTAGCTATAGCTTTGTAGCTATTTTAAAATTTATGGCTTTTTGTGGTTATCTTAGACATGGATATTGACAAATATAATCGTGGCTATCTTGTAAATTTGATTTAAAAAAATATACAAATACAGAAATAAAATAAAAATGGTTTAGCTCCACAAACAGAGACACGATGGCGAACATATCTAAACATTGTTCACCAAAATGAAATACAAGAACACCTTATAAGTTGGCGAACATATCTTCGAAGGGTAATGGAGGGATTCCTATGGTTGACAATACGCAAGTACGCGTTCATATATGACAATTAGGAGTGGAGGTGTATCCATGTAACATCGAACAAATGGATATAGTGTAAGAAATGACGGTGTATCCATCTAGCGGCGACCAAATGGATATGCATTTTAGTGTTTTTTCGTAAACCTATCTTGACATACAAAAGCCACCTTACCTACTATGTACTTAAGCAGACGATCTAATAGATCGGTGTCGCCGATTAGCTTCCTCCGTTTTTGACCTCAACTCTGACCTAAGTATCAAGTATGTAAAAGAAGTTATATATCGTTCCGTGTTACATATGACCATACACTCATCCAATCCAAACCAATATCTCAAGATTCTTATCAAAGGACATCATTCTCCACCGTAAGATCAAATTCACCATTAACCCTACCATAAGCCCATACACCGTGACACACTAGATTAACCAAATCAAGATCATCGTAGCCGTCCTTTCAGAGTATATTAGGAACCATCTCCTCGTAAGTATCCTTTCAGAGTTTTTTGTTTTCTGACAGAAAACATCACGTAGTTTCTTCCTTAAAACTGAAATAAAAAACGAAAATGACATACAATCCAAGTTTCTAACGATAACAAACAACATCTCTTTCACTTCCTTCAAAGCTCATTTCAAACCACACATTCAAACTAACTCTGCACAAAAAAAAAGAAGAAAAAAACTCAGAGCAGAGGACGGAGAGAGATCTCTTCAAGAAAAATGTCAATATCCATGGCGTTATTCTCTCCACCGATCTCATCCTCACTTCAAAACCCTAATCTCATCCCCAAGATCTCATCCTCTCTCCTCTCCACCAAGCGGTTCTCTCTCATCTCCGTCCCTCGAGCTTCCTCCGACAATGGTACGACTTCACCAGCGTCTGCTTCAGTCTCGGCAACCACCGTCGTGGAGATTCCGAAGCCTGCGGCTGTGGCTGTAGAGGAAGTTCCGGTTAAATCTCCAGCGGAAAGCTCCTCCGCTTCGGAAAACGGCGCCGTTGGAGGTGAAGAGACTGATTTGGGTACTGCTGCGACGGTAATCAAATTTGAGAATGCGAAGTGGGTTAATGGAACTTGGGATCTGAAACAGTTCGAAGTGGGTTAATGGAATTTGAGAATGCGAAGATTGGAGTTCTAGCTATCTCCATTGCCTCTTCATTTGTCATTACCTGTTAACATCATTTCAGTAATCAGAAAAAAATGGTCTCATAACACTTAGTTAACAAGAGATTAATAGTTTCATCCGAGAGCAGAATCGATCTTATATTGTAATATATATAGAGAATGTGCCATTACCTTCCAAATGCCATCACTGGCCACGAGAAGAACATCTGTCTGGCTATCTACAGTGGCTTCTTTTATGTCATGTTCTGAACTCAAGTGTGTCTTAAGTCCCTTATCTCAAAAACATGAGACACAGCTAATTGACCATTCACCCGAGGAACATCACCTATTATTAGACCACATCCACAAAATCCATGTCAACAATCATTCGATATAATAAACTGAACAAAACAATGATTAAAGACACACACTATCAAATCAGTTCTTTACCTGGTAGATTGGATACAAATCCACCTCTATCTTCAACATGTTTGGTCTTAGCTTGGGTTTCATGGAACTTGGGTTTCATATAACTTGTGTTTGAAATAAACAGAAAAAAATTGAGTAGAGACAATATCAAAGAAACTTACAGTTAGAATTTTGAGAGTCCCAAGGATGAATGATCATCTTCTTCCTGGGTTTGATTCCCCTTTGGCGTTAAACTTCACAGTTCGTGGATTTCGAACTCGAAGATTGTGGATGACCAGAATCGCGTGGCTTGGAAGACGACAGATCGAAAAATTTATGAAAAGATTATATATGATATATTCAAGATCTGTGATTTTCCATGGAAGGGGAGAGAGTTAATAGAGATTGTTGTTTAGAGAAGGAGATTTAGACGAAGAGAGAGACTTTTTTCTCATCAGATCTGACAACATAAACACGATCTTCACAAACTCCATTGTTGCTCTCACCAAACATACTTAGCACTCACAAAATTCCTCAACTGGCCATTTGATTTTTGTTTGAATCATACTTGTATGGATTTGTTTTAGAGAGAGTGATAGAAAGTCTTGGCTCCTTGTAGAGACGAAGAGAGAGATGTTCTCATCAGATAACATAGAAGAAACAAAATTATGATTTCCTTTCTTTCATCTTAGCCATAGATCTTAATATGTATTTTTTTAATCCAACGGTCTATACTAAAAAGCACTCAACTACACTGGTTTATTTCTAAATATGTTGTTGTCATCATATGCCACGTGTTTGTTCTTTTGTAACTGACAACAAACTAAACTCAAACGCTGGTTATCTTCCTTCCTTATTATTCAGGGGCAAATTGGTCACAATTTCACTCAAAGAATTGGAAAAGTGCTCTCTCCCTCAGAAGTGTCTAAAACGTAATAACTTTCCTTTAAAGTGCCCTATTGTGCAAATCTCCCATCAACAAATCATCATTATCTTGGAAAGTTGCAAAAAGAAATTACACGATCAAGTATGGGTAAAAAGAGAGCACAGGAGCTTAGGGTGCACCCTAGTGCAGGGGATCATAGCTCTACAAATCTGAAGCCATTTTCACGGTGACCCAAGTCGTCGTGGAGGCAAAAACCCTTTACCTCCGGGATCAAAATCTTGGAGAGACGAAGATGGCGACATCGTTTTCCAAAATTCTAACGAGATCGAACGCTCAGAGACACTGGTGCTCTACTACAACCAGTATATCTGCCTCTCCTTCTTTACCGAAACAGTTCTGGTCAAGACACTTCTCCGCCGTCGCTGACTCTTCCTCCTCTAGCTCCGCCGCTCTTGGAAGCCAATCGAGTTCTTCTGCTCCACCACAAGGTATGTTGCTCGTACTATGTCTTCTCGATGCTTGAGCTTGGAATGTGGGGATATTAAGAATCATTTGTGAAAAGTTAAGCCTTTTTTTTTGTTTCAGAGAACAAACGAGGGTCCAAATGGTCACAATTGCTACTATTCTTACCTGGAGCGATTACCTTCGGCCTCGGGTCATGGCAGATCGTCAGAAGAGAGGAAAAGGTCGGTGTAGCTAATTCAAAACCAATGGAAGTTCTTAACATTTTGTTTCCATCGTCTTTTTCCTTCTCCTATCATGTCTCAGGCTTGGTTATAGCTAGTCTTAGACTTTCAGTTGAAATTTAAATTCTTGTGGTTTTGGCTCACTACTGGCTACCATGCCCATGTCTTGGTTGCAGTTTCTCTTTATTCCTTTACCTGATTTCTTATCTTTTTCTCTTTCAAATTGTGGCTGAAGCTGAGACATTTAATATTATTTGGTGCTTTCGGCTGAGTAGAACCTAAGCTTTGTTCTCTCCTTGTTAATGCAGTTCAAAACACTGGAGTATCAACAGCAACGGTTGAACATGGAACCAATGAAGCTAAATATAGACCATCCTCCTGATAAGAATCTAGATGCATTAGAATTTAGACGGGTTAGTTGCAAGGGTGTGTTTGACGAGCAAAGGTCTATCTATTTGGGTCCACGGTCTAGGTCTATATCGGGAGTTACTGAAAATGGATTCTATCTCATCACACCTCTAATGCCAATCCCCGGTGACCTGGATAGGTGAGGGTAATGATCCTTTCTCCTTGCTTTTAAGTCTCTCTAGTACTCTTTACCTATACAATTGTGAATTACCTTTTTTTTGTCAGCCGCATCGAAGTAAAACAAGGGTCTTGCCTTTCTGTTTTCAGTTATGGTTGTGAAATTATCATAGCTCTTTCTCATGATATAATAGGCCATTGGGTTCTCTGATCCTATTATACTCTCTAAACACTTAACCATGCTTGTCTTATACTATTGCCATATTTCAGAGATTCTGATCGGCTGAGATTGAAATACTAAAATCGTTTGGTTAATAACTTTTATACATAATCTAACTAGTGAAGAGTTTAATAGTTAATTAGACAGAATTCTTCTGTGCTCTACTGCAGTGTCACTTAAGCCTTAACTGGTCTTGGCTTTGTCATATTTTTGGCTGCTGGTTTTAGCTCTAGCTGTTAACTGTTTGGTACTGTCTGAAGTCGGATTGTTCTTTTCCTTTGTCCACTAGCATACAGTCGCCTATTCTGGTGAATCGTGGATGGGTTCCTCGAAGTTGGAGAGAGAAGTCACCAGAATCCACAGAGGCTGACTTCGTTGCAAATCAGTCAACAAAAGCTAAATCACCCTCCGATGAACCAAAGTCCTGGTGGAAATTTTGGTCTAAGACGCCAGTGATTACCAAGGTTGGTCTTGTTATACCCTCTTGTTCAGAAACTTTTTTCCTTTGTCATAAGGTTGGCTTTTCATATATTTGGTTTATCTCGAAACTGTAATTTTGTGGGATGCATCTGAATAGAAGAAATATCGGATCTATGCAGAGACAGATTAAATTCAGCTATCTCCAAAGTTTCACTTCTTTTTTATTGTCTTCATCAAATGTCTTGCATACATTGTGACTTGTGGAAACTGAAATCTTGTAGGAACATGTATCCGTGGTTAAGCCTGTAGAAGTTGTTGGTGTGATCAGGGGAGGAGAGAACCCAAGCATATTTGTTCCATCCAATGATCCAAGTACCGGGCAGTGGTTCTATGTAGATGTTCCTGCGATGGCTCAAGCCGTTGGCCTTCCTGAAAATACAGTCTACGTAGAGGACGTCCATGAACATGTAGATCGGAGTAGACCATATCCTGTTCCCAAGGACATCAACACCTTGATCCGTAGTAAAGTCATGCCACAGGACCATCTCAACTACTCAATAACATGGTAAACTTTATACATATGCATGATTTGTTCTTATATGCTATGGTAAATGAGTGACATTATGTTTGTGTCTGTATATTGATGAACAGGTATTCTCTCTCCGCGGCTGTCACTTTCATGGCTTACAAGAGACTGAAGGCAAAGCCTGCCCGCAGATAAGCTCTAGCTGATCAAATCAAATCTTAATTCTTTTTTGTCACTTGTCTGCTGAAGTAATAATTGCAGAGGATAGTGGATTTTAGGCTTAAACTTTCATAAGAAAAAGGGACACAATGAAATGCTTGGTATTGTGAGAATTTAATAGAGATTTGTAGTTTTCTTTTTCTACGGTGGAAGGGAAGTTCGAACACGAAGCCATTTGTTGGTAAAGAAGGTTGCAATGAATGCTTGTAATCACCATTGTTCTTTCTGGTAGACTATCAGCAGCACACGTTGGTGTTAATTATGTATTACCAAGAAAAAAGAGTCATTTTGCTTCAAGTTAAAATTGCCGTTTAAAAGAGTTTGTTTGATTTTTTTTTTTTTTTTTTTTTTTGTCATCTGAATTTTCACTAAAACCTCAAGAACTGATACAAGTTTGTTTGATTATATTTTGAAACCTTTTTAAAAATATACATTAAGTTTGGGTTTATTCGAGTAACGAAGACCCATTTTACAAAAAATTACTATTTAGTTATTTTATTCAACTAAAATCTCATTATTCCACTGCCGACAGGATCTCTGCCGGCTGCCGCGATGCCTTTTTGTGCCGAGTTTTAATTTATTTATCGATCTGGTGTTATGTACCTTCATGTTTATTTATATTTTTTCACACAAAAGTTGAAAGACTGGCTTTCTCTTACAAAATTAGAAATAGTCAACCATTGTAAATGTTAACCAAGGTCAAACAAAAAGCATAAAAGAAATATATGTACTAACTCTTAACTCGTACCAAAAACTTTCAAAATAAAACGAAATTATTGGAAATTATTCTGAACTCAAAACCAACATTCTAAAAAACGTTTGAAATTAGCTGAATAGTGTGTGAAATATCAAATATATATATGGATACTTATTTGATAAAATGGAAAGAAATGAAATTATTTATTATCAGTAAATCATTGACATAATTCATCAAATGTTTTTCATGCGAGTGTGAAACCGTGTTTTAAAATTACGTAATCAATGATTACTAACTAAGTAATTGTCCAAAGCAAATGGTATATATAGTAATTAGTATAATAAGATTTGATAAACGCATGAATTAGGCCAGGTGTTAATATCAGTCTTGTCCCAGATTGTTCGCCAGATAGAAGAATCATCCTCGCTGTTTCCTATTTGCCAATTTCTTCACCAATCATCATCTTCTTCTTCTTTCTCTTAACGCATCAGAGCCAATCCATGGCGGTTTCTCTCTCTATTTACCTCGACGGTGTTAATTCTGTTTTCTGACAAGTCAAATCCCTAATCTCCTCGATTCTCATGGCCATCGTTACCGGAGATCGATATCTAGAGAATCTCCAGAAGTTCCTTGAAGAGAAAGCTGATTTGCTTATTGATGGTACCGATGTTCTCAAGCTTAATCCCGCGGGCCTTCACTATGTTCACCTCCGTCTCGAATCTCTCCGTGAACTTGAGCTTATGCTCTCCGGAGCTCCCGTTGACTATCTCCGCGCCTACGTCTCCGACATTGGCGATTTCCGTGCCCTTGAGCAGCTCCGACGTATCCTCCGTCTCCTTCCTTCTCTCAAGGTCGTTTCGTCGCTTCCTTCACCGGCTCGTGATCCTACGCCGCTATCTCTTCTTCCCTTTTCTAAGCTTAAGGTCTTGGAACTCCGTGGGTGTGATTTGTCTACTTCTTCTGCCAAAGGCTTGCTCGAACTCAGACACACCTTGGAGAAGTTGATCTGCCATAATTCCACTGTGAGTTTTCCTCTTTTCCATGTTATTTTTTTGTTTGTTGTGCTTTGTTTTAGTGCATTTCTGCTATGGTATTGAGTGGGGTTATAGTTCTGTGTTGCTTTAGTCTGTAGGGAAATTGAACTATTAGTATATTTGGAATGGACAATGAACGGTGGAAGGTTTTCATGTCATTTCTTCAGAGGTTCAGGACGCAAAGGTTGATGTTATGAGTTTGTTCATGTGTTTTGCTTGTCTTTGGATCGTTTTTGGAAGTCCCTGACTAATATTTTCCAGGTCTCCACTAAATGTAGGATGCGCTTCGCCATGTGTTTGCTAGTAGAATCGCCGAGATAAAGGATTCACCTCAATGGAATAAGTTGGCTTTCATTTCTTGTGCTTGTAACCGTCTTGTGCTCATGGATGAGTCATTGCAACTTCTTCCAGCTGTTGAGTCCCTTGATCTGAGCCGAAACAAGTTTGCAAAGGTGGATAATCTTCGGAGATGTACCAAGTTGAAACACCTTGATCTGGGTTTCAATCAACTTAGAAAAATCTCTCACCTGAGCGAGGTAGGAAAGTTCAGTTTTCTGCATGTCCATATATAGATTTCGTTCGATCTGAAGCTGCTTAACATTTGTGTTTGTTAGTTACTATCTCTTTAACCATTTAGCTAGTCTTGAGAGTTCTAAAAATACAACGGCATAGTTTTAACAGACAGAAGATTTTATTTAGGTTTTTCCCTAGGGACCCATACACCTATTTTTGTACTATGCAGGTATCCTGTCACCTTGTTAAACTTGTTTTGAGGAATAATGCGCTAACTACATTGCGTGGGATTGAGAATTTGAAGTCACTTGAAGGCCTTGATGTTTCCTTCAATCTTATTTCCGACTTTTCAGAACTGGAGTTCCTTGGGAGTCTTTCATTCTTGACAGACCTGTGGTTGGAAGGAAATCCAATTTGTTGTGCTCGATGGTACAGAGCACATGTCCTCAGCTACGTTTCTCTTCCAAATGATGTAAGTTTTATTTTAGAGACTATAGAATCTTGTTAAAAATACATAAATTGCACCATTTCAGTTTCTGCTTGATTTAAAATGCTTTTATCTGTGCGGCTTTTCAGTTGAAGCTAGATGGCAAACATATTGGGAATAGAGAATTTTGGAAGAGGCAGGTTGTTGTTACCCGTAGGAAAAGTCAGCCTGCCAGTTACGGGTTCTACTCTCCGGCTAGAGACGAAGCTGATGACGAAGGAAGCTGTAATAGAAAAAAGGTAATCAGCAAAAAGTTTAGTTACAGTTTATCTACATATATATAATCTGCTCTTAGCTGTTGTGGTCCTTTCTCCTGCGTGACACTAAAACCCTTTACATGAAAAACAGAAGAACATATCCGAACCAATTATGCAGGTGTAGTAAGTATGGTATAGCTATTTGAACAGCGTCATAAACATACACATCACTTGATAGACAGCTTCTCTTTGTACTTTTTTAGAGTTTCAGTTTCTTGTTTGTTTTGTAGTATAAATACTTATTGGAAGCTTATTATCGTTCTCTTGTTTCCTTTCACAGACGAAAATCTACCGGCTCGCGTCTATTGATAGTGAGGAAGAGAGCACCTATGTGAATTCTGATCAAGAGTCTGCTTCATGTGAACCCGAGACTCAAAGCAAAGAAGAGAATATCAAGTCTGATCATGAAGCTGATGTCTTTGGTCTAATAAGTAAAGTTGAACAGTTGAAGAAAGAGCGTTCTGTTCTTTGGCTTCGGGAATTTAAGGAGTGGATAGATCATCCATCAGAGGATTTTGTGGATGTCAGCAAAAATGGGAGCAGTACTGATTCAGAGCAAAAGTACTACACGAAGAATAGAAATGGCCCAAAGCATCATGGTGAAACAATGAGATATGCACCAGGGCCTCTACCAGGTTTCCAAATTACAGATCTAAATCAGAAGCATCAAGCATTTTTTCTTGATGGGAAGCCAGATGAAAATGGAAACATGTCAACTTTGGATGCTACTCAGGATATGACAGGATCATTTTCACCCTCATCACCCCCTCATTATCAAAAGGATGTCTTACACCGGCGTCAGAACCTGGTGGAAGAAATCTTACAGATATCAGCAGATTCTTATTCAGTGGCTTCGTCTGATAGTAGCTGCAGTGAAAATGAAAATTATGATTCTGAGCAATCAAATCCTGAACAGGATACGTTGAAGGATCATCTTAGTGGGAATAGAGGAGAAGACACAAGCTTGCTTGACTCTCAACCAGAGAAGAGGAGCATCATAAAGTCTTGGAGGATAGATGATTCGTTTAAAGCAAAGACCACTAATTTTCTATCTGGGCTACATAATAGTGAGCTTGCTTCTGGTGTTAACCAGATTTACCGTTGGTTTGACAAAAGGAAAAGCAAGAGGAAGCCTAAAAAAAGAGATGTTTCTCCACTGGAGGAGAATAGTTGCATAAATAATGGAGAACCATCTCACAGAAGTGATGCAGATATCATTGATTCTTGTGAAGATGAATATATTTCTGATCATTTTCAAGAAGGTTCCTTGAATACGGGTTGTAATAGTAAGAGAAGTACTAGATTTTTGGAAACTGAAAAATCCCTTGAAGGAATGGATGGTCTAGTGGAAGAATTTTTTACAACGACACTGTCAGATTCCAGCATTGATGAGACTTGTAGGATTTACGTTAGTTGTGATTGCATAATACAGCAAGAATCCACCTACAAGCAACGGTAAGTTTTGTTCCCTCTATTATTGTGGTTCTAGGTGAAAGAAAAAGTAATCTAAGTCCCTTCTGTCTTTGTCTTTAGTTAAAAACTTATCTAGTTTTGATAGGCTTTATTCGATTTGAAAAGGAATAACTGGTCAATGGAATTAGATTGAGCTGTTTTCGGTTTCCTTGTGATTCACATGTATGAATAACTACAAATTTGTCTTGAGAAGCCATTTACAAGGATAGCACTCTTCTTTTCCCCCTGACAGTACTCTATAAATGCAGGGAAGTAGTGTTGCTGCTGAGTAGCCAAGAAAAACTGTATGTGCTGCTCGTGGGTGTCTCCAGTGATTCACAAGGTTAGACTGCTCTTCCCCGTCTTCCTCTTTTATTCTTTATGTCCGAATGTGTTATGCTCTGTTGATGCTGATTTACTTTTCCTTGACCCCTGGTGTCTGCAGAGAGCAATTTAAGTTTATTGTGTTCGCATACAATCGGTGATATACAAGACGTCTCAGTTGGTCTAGGACTTCAGGTTGTGAGGTTAGTTTTTCATGGCTCCGCTTTTAAAATTGATGATGTGCCCATGTCCCTAACCTCTCGCTTTCCTTCTGGTTTAGGCTACGCTTTAGGGAGGATGCAGAGTACATTTTCATAACGGCGAGCATTGAAAAAACAACAGTTTTACTCAATATCATAAAATTATTGGATTCTCAGGTTACAGAATCAAAATGTTCTTTGAAGAGGTGAGCTACCATCATCTTTTTCTTCAGCTCTTTTACTATTATTCTTTTGTTTGCTGATTTGAGATGTATTAAACTTAAATGGCAGTTTGGAGAATGTTCAAGTGGAATTGTTTGAGAAAGAAATATGTAGTGGTTTGAAGCTGAGTATATTCCAGTATAATGTTCTCCATTTTCAGAGCAGCACTCTTGGAGGTATATTATTCTCTCTTGTATAATTGATGTTGTGTAGTGAGAAATGGTTCACCTCAAATGTCCTTTTTTTCTCTGAAAGAAGAAAATCTGATAGGGTATACTATTTTACCTACCAGATCAATAGCTCATGATTTCATCCCTAGTGTGGAAGCTCACATTCAGAAGCTGATAGATTACATTTCTCTGAAGTATCTTGTCTACTTGGATCTCGCAAATCTCAGGACTTTTGGCTAGTCATTGCTTTTTTTTTTTTGTGTGAAAATGCTAGTTACTGCTGCTCATAGGAACTATTGACAACTCAAATTAGGAAGCTTTATTCTTCCTAATAGGGTTTGACAAGCTTATAAGTCATCTGATTCGAGCGGTATCAGCACTGATCATTTACTATAGTGTTAATCAATTTTCTTCTGTTAAACTGAACAGAAGTGTCATGGCTTCCACGGTCACTCTTTGTGGCGGGTGGACGTCTTTTCATATGCAATGAAGACTTCAGGCAGCTGAGTTTTCTGCCAACAGATGCTTCTTCATCCCCATACTTCTCACTTGCCTCAAGCTGCTCCATCTCCGACATATTTGAGATGGTAAAAAGTTTGTTTATTCTTTCCCTTTCTCTCACTTATGTCAGTTTTTCATGTGCAAACTTGGGTATTATCCAGGTTGTTGAATCACGAGGAAGCTCTTGCTTGTCACTGAAGATCAAGCAGAAGGATTCCACATTTCAAAGCAGACAAAAGAGGACAGTGAATTCAGTAACATGGAAGCTCAAGTTACTCAGCAACGAGTGTGTACTCAAATTTGTGGCTCTAGTCAATGGACTTCACCCAGATTCGACAGAATGCCCTTTGCTCGTAAGGCATTTGGGTGAGAAATGAGTCGTATATGTTTATAACTTGATATTTGTTCATAACTTCATATTCATTTGATTCAATTTGTTAATGAGTTTTGATTCATCTTGTATAAAGCCCTTGAGGGTCCTGTGGTGTGTTCAAAATGTTCTTCGATTTGTATATTTTTAAGTGTGTATCATTCATACAACAAACAGCAAGGAAGAAGAAAGAAAATCAGAATAATTTCTGGATTTTTACTATGAAAGCCTGTGCTGTTCTTTGTTTCACAAACTTTTGCAGGTGATGGAACACAATGGGGCAGAGAACCTACTCAACCTTGGTCTTCTCTTCATCAACCTGTGCCATCAATGCCTCTAACTCTGCCTCTGATAAGCTCTCCAGCCGTTTCTGCCCATAACCAAACCAACCATATGTTAACGTGGGTGAAATACATAAGAAACCCTGATTAAGAAGACCTAAAGGAAAGCAGAAACCTGCATGACTTGAGACTCGTAGTCACGAAGTTGCTGGGCATAAGTCATCTCCTTGTTACCGACTCTGAAGATATAAGTTGAAATCCAACCCAAAGTCAAACCCAGCACCAGTATCAGCTGCACAGCATTCCCTGCTTGCAACGGATCTACTCCCACATACTGCAAAATGAGTACTCACAAGAATAAAGAAAAAGATAACAGATTCATTTTGATATCATCAGTATTTAGATAATGAATTACCTCAAGTCCACTCTCTAGGCCGATACCAAGTGCAGTCACTCCCACTCCTATCAATATAACATCTTTCCTCGTGTAACCAAACGGCGTCGTCTATAACCAAATAGAGTTTGCATTAGGACATGAGACACTGCTAATACTATGATGATGAGATGAAATTGAAGAGATGGAATTCAGACCTTGGTCTTTGTGGCAGATTCGTCTTCAGTTTCAGTAGAGTTTGAGCTAACTCTACATCTCATTCTTTGTTTCTCTCTCACTTCTACTGATGATGACAATCCATGTCCCTCGAATCTATATAAGACTTTCTTCGCAGCTCTGAATCCTGCATCACCACAACAAACACAAGAGAGTTTTACCATCGCTTCATCTATAAATCCTAAGTTTTTTCGTAAACGATTATTGGGGAGAACAGAAGTACAGAACCTGTGGTTTGTCGCCCAACCGGACGAATCCGTACAGCTGCGGACAGAACCTCCTGATTTCTGCATAGATTCGAAACTCCGAACGGTAAAGAAGCCATTTCTGTGTTTGACCCACAACACAAGCCGTGGTTACTTGTGAAAAAAAAATTAATGGGAGGACGAAGAGATTAGAGAGATGGGTGGTTGATATTTACGCGCCCATAGGCTTTTGCTTCTTTAGTGTTCCCATCCACGCAGAAGAGGCGCGTGCTTCTCACCGCCCAAAACGTAGGCGTGTAGACATAATTGCCATCAGAATTACTCTTGCAGTTTATTTCCGAGTTCATGTGACCAATGAGATACCATTCACAAATCACAAATGGGCCAAATGTTTAGCAGATATGAAAAAATAAAGTAACTTCAATAATGTAAACAGTTTGGTTTTATTATTCTCCACGACAACGATCAAAAGATGAAATTAAAATCACTTTTTTTCCCAGTTCAATGAATCAAAATGAACCGGCCCTTTATTCCCATCATTTAACACCTAAACGTCCATCTAAATACCAACCCCTTCACTCAAGCTGAAAACTCAAACAGCATTGTGTGCTGGTACTTCTCACCAGCTTTAACCACAACAGACGGGAAATTCGACTGGTTAATCGCGTTCGGGAACCCCTGCGTCTCAAGGCACACACCCGCATGTTTTCCATAAACCGCATTCCCTTTCCCAACCACTCCATTCACATAGTTCCCGGTATAAAACTGCATTCCCGGCACATTAGTCCACAAGTTCAGTACCCTTGAGCTTGCACCGTCGCTGAGCTTTGCTGCGTGTTTCAGCCCCTCCTTCTCTTGATCAGGACAGTCCAACACGTAGTTGTGATCATATCCGATACCAACCTCTCCAATAGACTCGCCTATCCGTTTCTCCTCAGTGAAATCGAAAGGAGTTCCCTTTACCGGCAAGATCTCCCCTGTAGGAACTGTGTATTCGTCAACCGGTGTGATATGAGACCCCCAAATCTGAATCTTATGGTCCAGAATGTTTCCTGAGTCATGACCCGCCAAGTTCCAATATGTATGCTGAGCTAAGCTGATGGGAGTGTCTTTGTTCTCTGGAACAGCTTCCATGTCAAGTCTCATTGTCGTGGCTGACGTGAGAGTGTATGTCGCCGTGACAGAAACCGCACCAGGGTAACCTGTGGATGGGACCGTAAACATTAGTATTATTAGCTACAAGTCGAATCGTATAGATATCAAAAAGAAACTAAAAGAAAGAAGATATGTCAGGACCTTCTTCCCCATCAGCACTGTGGTATTTGAAAGTAATGAAAGGTTTTTCGCCGTCTTTCTTGTGCCCTGCAACTTCCCATATCTTCTTATCGAATCCCTTGTTCCCACCTGTGTAGAGAGTAACATTTTATGGTCCAAATCCTATTAAGTTCATGGAAACCTATATAAAGTATACAGAGAAGAGAATTATTATACATACCGTGGAGACTATTGGGAGGCTTGTTGATGGGCAAAGTGTAGTTAACTCCATTGAGACTAAATTTTCCCTCTTTGATCCGATTTGCCACACGACCAACTATGCACCCAAAGTATGGTGCAAGCCCTTTCTGTAACACTCATGATATATGTATATATCAGATTCATAGATAAAACACAAAAATTCATTACCATTGTTACATAATTATTCTGATTTTTCATCACAAAGCCATTCAACAATGACCATATATATTTCTTAACAATATAATTCTATTCATGAGGTCTGTTGTTGCTAATAACACTATCTATTCACCATAAGAGTTTAAATTATAAAATCAAAACACATCCAGAGGCAGTGAGAAGAGTTTTCGATCAGATCGGATTGAATCTATGTCGAAATCAATCCGAAGATTAGGTGAATTCGAGAGAAATTACCACATATGGATCCACCGAGTCGAATCCGAGAACTACATCAGCCAATTTCCCTTCAAATAAGAAAAACAAACTCGACAATCAGAGGATTAGGATTTGGAGACAAAACAGAGATCATCACAGGAAAGAGGAAGAAGAGAACTAACCATTCTTGTCGGGAACAGACAAGGAGGTGATGGTGGTACCGTAGTTTGAGATCTTGACCTGCATGGTGCCATTGTTGAGCTCGAAGATCTGTGGAGTGTTCTTGCTCTGATCCGCCATTAGAGGGCTCCGAAGATTAAATGAAAAGCTTTAAGATTAGAAGCCAAGTGATTTGGATTGAGAAACAAAACAAAGGGGAAGTGATCAGTTTTGGTTAAAAGAGTTACAAAACCAAAATCGTAATCTCGTAACTGATCAGTGTTGACGTCATTTACATCCCAAACTACTTATCCTGTTCTTTTTTTTCGTTATTTATCACTTTAGAGCATTTTTAAAATCAATTTACAATCCAAAAGTTACCAACTAAAATCCGAAACTATAGAGAGAAAGAACAAATATAGAATTTGGATATAATTTTCTAATTATCAACGATATTGATAAAGTAAAATAAGTTTTTAAGAACCAAAATCATTTAAAAAAGGAAAAGAAAAAAATACTCTATACATATCTATACACTATCGTAACAGAGTATTCGCGTGAATTTAGATGTAGCTCTCTACCCTTTTTCAGGTATCCTATGAAAAAACAATAGAACCTAGAAAAGCTAACTTTGTAATTTATTTTCTTTTCGTAAATTTCGATTTGCTCTCAACCATCCAACATGTACCAGTTTTTAGTTTTTACCCAAATGTTACAAAAAAAATGTTTCGATAAAAGATTTTGATTATTCCCGTAGCTAGAAACAATTAAATAAAAATATCAAAGCTCTTTCAGACATGGAAAGAAATAGTGTAACAGATGGCAAAGAGGACTTTAGCTTAAAGAAGCACAATCATTTCAAAAAGCAGATCATTTGTCACTTTCTTCTTCTTCTTCACCTATCATCCCCAAAAACACTTTCCTTTTTCTCTCATTAAGAACTCTCCCCATCCGACGTCGTTTTTGTTCAGTGACACAATCTCCAACATCTTCAAACCCTTTTGAGACCAACGATTACAGAGATGCAAGATCCTCATGTGCCATCTTCTCCCACCATCTCTTCCGTCTCTTCCTCCGATCTTGATACCGAGGTCAGTTCCTACAATCTTAACCTTAATAGAGCATCTAATTAATCTGCCTTAAGCATATAGATTGAACTTCATTTTACCAGAAATTTCCAAGCTACCCATAAGGCTTTATGCTATAAAGTATCAACCTTTAATTAGAAAACTAGTTTAAAGTTCCAAAGGTTATGTTTTTAGAACTGCCCAGAAACATATACTTGTTAGTCTTAATTTGGTTTTTTATTGGTGATGTGAGGATTTAGTCTACAGGATCGTTCTTCCATGACAGAAGCATCACACTGGGAACGCTTATGGGATTTAGTTTCACTGCAACCATGCCGATGCCATTTAGAGCTTCTTCGCATCGCCACGTGTCACCTTCCGTCGCAATCTCACGAGCTTCCAGCTCCAATGCAAGACGCCACCACCAGAGAAAGCGTCCTCCTTCAAATTCGGCTGAGCCTGAGCGGCATCGCCGTCGCAAGTGGTGGCGCTTTTGCCGAGATGACGATGACGACGCCGCAGGAAATGGAATCCACCGTGGTACCGGAGATTCTAAGCGGTCATCGCTCGGGGAGTATCTAGAGGTTGAACGGAGGTTTGGAGATGAAGCCGTTTATGGCTCAGCCGAGGCGGAGCTAGAGGGTGCGGTGGTGGCGCGGTACCAAGATCAGCAGCCGGGGATGGGGGAGCGGGCATTGTTTGCCGACGGGAGGGTTCTTCCTCCGGCTTCAGCTGAGGTAGTTACCGGAGAAAGTACGCCGGTGGCCACGGCCCTTTGTAGATTCCCGGTTTCCTTAACCGGTATATGCAGTGGTGGCGGAGGATAAATACGTCGGTTCATGTGTGTGTTTTGTATTAGTTCTTTTTCGTATTTAGACTTAAAATTTTTGTATTCAGTTTCTAGAATCATTGTTTGTGGAAAATATAACATGTTGATGTAGTCATTGTCAAAGTAATTATTTGAGAAATAATGATTGATAAAGAGAATTATGAAGGATTACATGGTAATAGTAAAAAAAAAAAATAAGCATAGAGAATGGCACATGCACAGCTTTTGGTGAAAAATTAATGGATTTTGATTAATCACAACTCGTAAATAAAAACTATAACTGGAACACTTGAGTTGTTATTTGAAATGCTAAATTTGTTCTATCATCTTGAGTTTTTGCTTCAACTTATTTCATCCATACATCTTTATACAAAGTAGTCAGTCTTTGGACAGAAACTTGACCAAATCAGATTTTGAGGCAAACACGATATGATTTTGGCTAAGAGTGTACCGCATTCTTAATATCATAACATATTACTAGAAACTATTTATATTAACCACAAATCATCCTCATAACATAATAGGAGAATATTCCTCCTAACTTACTACGAAGCAAAATTATCAAACAAGTGAGTGGACAAAGGAATTAACCACTGATACGGAAAAATGTTTGTTATGACTTATGTGTATCCATACTTTATAGCAATTCAAGTAACAAAAAAAAATTACATCAAAACAAGAAACAACTAAGAAAATTAGTCTTTTTTTTTGTTCTGTTACAACCTGAATAATTAAAAATTGTTGACAAAACAAAAATAAAAAATAAACGTAAGTAAAATAAACCCTCGAGTGATGTAAAAAAAAAAAAGGGAAAAAGAATAAAAGCTCAAGCAACGCAACACACAAAACAAAACTCTTTGGCGTCCTTCTTCTCCTTTAGGGTCTCTCTCTCTCTTATCTTAAGCAGCAGCAGCAGCAAAAAAACGTCATCGATGGCGTCTCAAGCTGCGAATCTCTGGGTTCTTCTAGGTTTAGGTCTCGCTGGTATTCTTATGCTTACTAAGAAGCTGAAGAAGACCGTCCGTGAAGATTTCGGCGCTTTTATCGATAAACTCTTGCTTCTTCCTCCTCCCCAACCTGCTCCTCCCAAAGCTCCTCATCCTCTCACCGGCCTCACTTTTGCTGTTTCCGACGTGTGAGTCTCCGTTGACTTGTTTCCCCATATGTTTATGATTTTTAAATTGGGGATTTGATTTTAGACGAAGAATATTTGCTAGGGTAGTCAAAATTTTGTTTGACAAATTTCGGAATCTGCGTTGACTCCGTTCTTAATCTTCTCCGGCGCATTATATGTCTGTTAGTGAACTTCTGAGAGTATGGTTGATTGATTTTGAGCCATTTTTACTGAAAATTTTGTTTGTTGTAGATTCAAATGTGTGTTTGTGTATCTGCTTGTTCTGTCAAACACATTTCAAATCGATACTAGCTGAATTTATATGAACTTTCAAACTGTTCTTTTCACTGGAAGACTCTACGGCTGGATCTTTAGAGATAGTGTTTGTATGTTTTGGATTCATCACCAAGTTTGGATTAGAGAGTGTTTGACCTCGACTTATTCATGGAGTCTACATAAAACAGTCTCAACATGTTTATTGACTCGAAAATATTTATCTAATATTTGTGCATATCTCATTCTCTTCTATGAACACTTTTGAAGTTCTTGAAAAGCTAAATTTACTCTTTCTTAATTTCGCATTTGTTTTCCAGGTTCGATATTACAGGGTATGTGACTGGCTTTGGTCATCCAGACTGGGTCAGGACGCATGAAGCTGCTTCTTCAACATGTCCTGTGGTTTCAACTCTCGTTGAAGGTGGAGCCACTTGTGTTGGAAAAACTGTAGTTGATGAACTTGCGTTTAGGTTTGTCTCTGTTTCTATTATTAATGTTAAATTGTTTCCTGAATCAGGATTCAGATAATGACCTGTAGTTTGTGATTCCAGTGTTGAAAATTTTACTTTATCAGGGTGTGTAAGTATATTAATTCCTTTGTTTTGCGGTTTTCATTTTCTTCAGTATCAGTGGAGAAAACAAGCATTACGATTCACCTACAAATCCTGCAGCTCCTGCTCGTATTCCTGGTGGCGCTTGCAGTGGAGCTGCTGTAGCCGTAGCAACCAATGCTGTGGATTTTGCTTTAGGTGAGTTCAGTAGATACTTTTTTCCTTGTTTGGACAATTTGGTATGAGATAACCTTATGTTTCAGAAACAAAACATTGCATACACTTTCAAAACATGGTCAATAGTTATCTTCCTTTAGGAAATTTCTGAAACGATTCTATAAATAGGTCACTTTTGCATGCATACTGCTGTCCATAAACGTGATAGTGAAGGCTTAGAAGGGGATGTAAGAATCACTTAACCAAAACACTCTCCTATAAACTTTGAGTTACAGTAGAAATGAGATAAATCCCAAAAGAGAACCACACCCCAACTTTTCTGTATGAGCAGTATCTAACAGGTGGAGTTGAACTTATTTGGCATCTAATAGAATTGCTTGTTTTGGACTCTTATGGCTATATGGTAAGATAGTTCCATGCGGATTTACATGGTAGTCTGTCATTGGCTCCCCCTATCAATATCTTAAATCTCAACTGTTGACTGGTTGGTTCGGTTTCAATTGTTTTCAGAATATAGTTTTGACTACTTGCATCATTGCAGGCATCGACACAGTTGGTGGGGTAAGAGTGCCTGCTGGATACTGTGGCGTTCTTGGATTCAAATCTTCTTATGGGGCTATTTCAAACACCGGAATCATACCAGTATCTTCAAGTCTTGACTCTGTTGGTATGGATATATAAATCTGTGAATTATACTGTTTGTGGTGGAATGATTTGGATCTTATATAGGCTAGGTTTCAATTGTTGTATAATCACATTGCAATGCCTTCGTTCATATGACTAATTTATATCTAGCACCATTAAATGAGCATTACGTTGATTCTGATCAATAGATATTGGCTTCAGGATGGTTTGCCCGCGATCCAAACACCCTACGTCGTGTTGGCCATGTACTCTTGCAACTTCCATTTGCCACTCAACGGAATCCAAGGCAAATCATACTAGCTGATGACTGTTTTCAGCTGTTAAATATCCCTGTGGACCGGATTACCCAGGTGGTGATCAAATCAGCTGAAAAGCTTTTTGGAAGTATGCCCTTTGCTCTCCCTGAAGATCCTCCAGTCTCTGTTACATATTCTGATTATAACAGCATTATCCTTTGTTTTATATTTAGGACAATTGCTGAAGCATCAGAACTTGGAGAACTATCTTGAAACTAAAGTTCCTAGCTTGAAAGAGTTCGCTAGGACAAAAGCCATTGCTAACACGAAGGTCTCAACATCGAGACTACTGGCGAATGTGATGCAGCTTCTTCAAAGGTGTGCCTATTGTTTATTCACCTACAGAGAATAAGAGAATCTTGGTTTTGAACTCTAAAGCGATCTTGGCATTGTAGGCACGAATTTCTTCAAAATCATGGGGATTGGATCAACACAGTGAAGCCAGCCATTGATCCTGTGATTTCATCACTAGTGTGTGAGAACCCAGAACTAACCAATGAAGAGATTGAAAACCTGAATGCAATCAGAAACGAGACTCGAGTGGCTATTGGTTCACTTCTCAAGGTATTACTGCTCTTCCATGACATGTCCACAACTTGAGCGAGTTAGTTTATATGTGTCTGGACTAATCTCTGATTGTTCCCAATTCTGTAAACATTATGCATCAAGGATGATGGCATTCTGGTTGTTCCAACAATGCCAGCTGTTCCTCCAAAACTTGGTAGCAAAGAGATAACCTCTGAAAACTATCAAAACCGAGCTTCAAGTCTACTTAGCATTGCTAGCATTTCAGGATGTTGTCAGGTTAAATCTCTCTCTTTCTCACTCTCACCTGCCATGCTAGTGTAGATGATGTAAAAATGACTTTTTCCCCTCACACATATCAAAAGCAACCCAGTCAGCATTAAGCAAACCCAATCCACAGTGTATGTGTCTTACATTTACCGTACTGATGACAGGTGACAGTGCCACTCGGACATCATGAGAAGTGCCCTGTTTCAGTTTCTTTCATAGGAAGACACGGTGGTGACCGCTTTTTACTAGATACGGTTCAGACAATGTATGCATCTCTGCAAGAGTACTCGAGCATTGTTGCCGATCCCAAATCTGCTAAAAAGACTATTAGCAAAGAAGAGTCAGCTGAGATTGCCAAAGAGAAGGTCAATTAATTCCCATTGCAGGTCTCATTTTCTTAATGGCATTATCATCCTTAATCTAATGTGTGTGTTTTTATCTGTGTCCCTTGATTATCTAAAACAGGGTAACCAAGCATTCAAAGATAAACAATGGCAGAAAGCTATTGGTCTTTACTCAGAAGCTATAAAGCTAAGTGACAACAACGCTACCTATTACAGTAACAGAGCTGCTGCATATCTTGAAGTTGGAGGGTAATTGTTTCTCTGATCCTTAAAAACATTTTTAGTGAGCAATCTTTCCATGTGGCATTGCCTTGACAAATCACTTACATACAGCTTTCTTCAAGCCGAAGAAGACTGTACCAAAGCCATCACCCTTGACAAGAAGGTACCTTTCTACAAAACACAGAAGCAGGTTTTGTTTTGTAATAACACTCTTTGCTTTTTGTAAGAACACTCAACACAAAGATCGTTTTTGTTTTTAGAACGTCAAAGCCTATTTACGAAGAGGAACCGCAAGAGAAATGTTAGGCGATTGCAAGGGAGCCATAGAAGGTAAGCTTTTAAGGAAACAGAATGTGATTGGTTTTCCCCTTGTAAAATCTGGTAAAAAAAACACTCACAGATTTGTTTTTTCTTCTTCTTTAAAACTCTGCAGATTTCAGATACGCACTTGTGCTGGAACCAAACAACAAACGAGCGTCTCTATCAGCAGAGAGACTGAGAAAACAATTCTAGTGAGCTTCTTTTGTCAGTGCCTCACCGATCATTGAGAAAACGTTTGTTCCTTAGAATTTCTCCAAGAGTATAGGCCAATTTTGTTTACACTTCTGTTTTGCGTCTGATATTTAGGCATTTTATCTAGAGATATACCTTTTGCAAGTCCCGCCGAGAATGGAAAATTATAATATCCGATGTTTATTTTAAACGTTCTCTAAAATTGGATATCGAAAAGTAATGTTAATCGTAAACACCGGATACCGGAATTCCCGGTCGACTTCTAGTCAACGTCAAATTGTCTTTATCAATTTCTTCTCTCGCACGTTATTTCCTCCCCACAACTCAAAAAAAAAAAAACAGAAAAAAGAGAAGCAAGAAACCAAAGCGACCTGCCCTAATCTTTAGCGATGATAGTTTAAACGGAACGAAACTTGACGAAGAAACTAAAGAGACACATTTGAATCATCTTCATAGGTGAGTTAATTCGATTAATTTTCTTACAGAAAGTTTGAGAGAGATTACAATGTTTCATAATGGGTTTGTTGTCTTCACGTGTGTGTTGTTGCAGCGTTAAAGAATAAAAATAAAAAATCGTAGAAAGTGAGAAAGAAAGAAGATAATCGGGGAGATTAAAAAAAGGAAATGACAACGGCGTGTCCGGCGAGGACAAGCTCACTAATGGACGATCTCTTGGGCCTCCTTAGAATCCGCATCAAACGTGGCGTCAATTTAGCCGTCCGTGACATCAGTAGCAGTGATCCTTACGTCGTCGTCAAAATGGGCAAACAGGTTTATCTATTCACCAAAAAATTACAATTTTCACAGCGTTCATTACATCAAAAACATTCTCAAATTATCATATATTTATAAATTTTGCAGAAATTGAAGACTCGTGTCATTAACAAAGATGTAAATCCAGAATGGAATGAAGATTTGACTCTCTCCGTCACAGACTCCAACCTTACCGTCCTCTTGGTATATTTTTTACATACATGAGTTTTCTTATCATATGATGTTGTGTATATTGATAAAAACTATAATGTTATATGTAGACGGTGTACGATCACGACATGTTTAGCAAAGACGACAAGATGGGTGATGCTGAGTTCGAGATAAAGCCTTATATTGAGGCTTTGAGGATGCAACTTGATGGACTTCCTAGTGGAACCATTGTGACCACGGTTAAGCCAAGTCGTCGCAACTGTCTAGCCGAGGAGTCACGTGTCACATGGGTCGACGGCAAGCTCGTCCAGGATCTCGTTCTCAGATTGCGACATGTGGAATGCGGAGAGGTCGAGGCTCAACTTCAATGGATTGATCTCCCTGGCTCCAAGGGTCTATGAATCTTTTTTCTTTTTTTTTTCTTATTCACCGTTACTTTGAGTTGTTTTCTTTCAAATTGAACTAAACCAAGTAACAGCATGGAAAAAAAACCAAGTATTTCAATCTTGAAGGATATAGCTAGTGAACTATAAACGCGTATTAATCCATGGGAATATAAGGATTAAGAACGTTGAGGGAAGTTTTGTTCCCATATGGTGATCGAGTCCAAGTCGAGTGAGTCATGGTGGGCATGTAAATGCGGTGTATTGTTGATGTGTATATTTGGGCTAGCTATGCCTTAAATAAGGCTATTAACACGAACAACTAATACATACATCTTATTTATTTAATTATTATTGTTCCATATAGTTATGAATATTAGATTGTTTTAACACGCAAGTCAGGTAATGTTTATAGGTAAAAAGGGAAAAAAAAAAGACCAGCATAGTTGTTTCCTACCATTTACCATCGACATCGATAGGCCCTCTTATCAACCATTGACATTGGAGTTATGTGTACGTTACTGAAGCACAACTTACAAGATTCACCTCTAAATTAACGCTAATTAAAGTCTATAAAATAAAACACGTGAAAAGGGATGGAAGGTGAAGAGAATCCAGATGCACACCAATGAGTGAAGCACCATGGCCTTAAAACGACAAGACACGTGAGCCATAATTGTCCTTTACTATATGAGTGGCACCGTGACTTTACAATAATGTGGCAAATGACCGTGGCACGAGTGAAGTAGTATATTTTTCTCTATTTAATAAAGTAAAAGATTCGACTTTTGAGATATTTTCTCATTTTATTAAGGGGTTTTGATAGATCCCAAGGGACCCAAATCTCGGTTCCCAATGAACGATCTAGAGATTCCCCTTCCACCAACTCCCCAAATTACTCAACTATTTTACCAAAAAACAACGCTTTTTTTCTTTAAAAACTTTTGCTTAGAATAATATCTGAGAAACTTATTACTTTCATCAAAAAATGGTAATTGTTCTGAATATTTTATTTTATATTTATGAAGGTGCAATTTAATACTGTAAATACAAATATATCAACATATTTTACCAAACATAAAATAAAATAAAATATATCAACATATATATATTGCATATAAATGCAAATGTAGTAAAAAATATATTAACCATAACTTAAAAGGAGTGACAGCACAACATTAACTAAAATACACTTATTATTATTACCGGTTTTGACCAAAACAAAAAGAGAGAGAGATTTTTTAATTAGCGACTGATTTTAATTTTACAGTCTGTAAGGAGCCGATTTCGAAGGTAACGCCACCGTTTTCCACCTATAAAATAGGGCGCGCAACAACAACATCCCACACTCTCTCACTCTTGGGCTCAGATCTGAAAACCTTATCCGAAATCTTCTTTTTCCCGACTCGACGGTGTGAATTGATGCAGCAGAGAGGACGATCCGTCAACCGCAGATCACGAAGCTTCTCTAGATCCAGACTCGCCGTCGAAGGCCATTGAATTACTCTCTCCGCAGATCTTCTTCTTCCTTCATTTTTTCCCCACATTTCCGAAATGGCTGCATCGTACGGTGAGATCACCGATTATATATATATATATATGCCTCGAATCTCCAATTTCGATTATCGTTGATTGCTTATATTAATCGAAATTAGAGATTAAAGAGAAAAAGAAGAGAATGTGAAATTGATTTGTTGTTTTTGTGTGTTTTGGGTGAGAGCAGAGGAAGAGCGTGATATCCAGAAGAATTACTGGATAGAGCATTCGGCTGATTTGACTGTTGAAGCTATGATGCTTGACTCTAAAGCTTCTGATCTCGACAAGGAAGAACGTCCTGAGGTTACCCTCATTTGAATCAGTGAATGATTTTAAGAATTATAGCTCTGCTTTGAATGATTGATACACATTGTTTTTGATTTGAATGTTTTTTTTTTTGTCTCCTTCAAACAACTATTAGAGAGGCTCATATATCTTTTAAGTGTTGATTTAAAATTCTGCAGGTACTCTCTTTACTCCCTTCATATGAAGGCAAATCAGTGTTGGAACTTGGAGCTGGTATTGGTCGTTTCACTGGTGAATTAGCTCAAAAAGCTGGTGAACTCATTGCTCTTGACTTCATTGATAGCGTCATCAAGAAGGTTTACTACTTTAATCAATCACCTTCTTTTAACTAATAAAGTTTTTCTCTCCTGACTTGAAATCTTGAATGTTATATTTCTTCTTTCTTGTAGAATGAAAGTGTCAATGGGCATTACAAGAATGTCAAGTTTATGTGTGCTGATGTTACATCCCCTGACCTCAAGATCACTGATGGATCCCTTGACTTGATTTTCTCCAACTGGCTGCTCATGTATCTTTCTGACAAAGAGGTATAGTATAATATGATCTTTTATCCAAGGCAAACATAATCTTGTGGTCAAGAGGAACCAATTAAGTTTTTTAACGGTTTTGTTTTGGATTCAGGTGGAGCTTTTGGCTGAAAGGATGGTTGGATGGATCAAGGTCGGAGGATATATTTTCTTCCGTGAATCTTGCTTCCACCAATCCGGGGACAGTAAGCGGAAGTCCAATCCGACTCACTACCGTGAACCTCGTTTCTATAGCAAGGTTCCTACTTCTTTTACATCCAATTAAAAGTTACATTTCCAAGACTGCAATTTCAATCATTTAGCGGAAGAACAATAGTTAGAATGCCTATGCTTAAGAATATGTTGTGACTTACGAAAGTTTCAGTGGATTTAAATTGAATGATAAAGGATACATAACCACTTCTTTTCTCTTCTATTGACTGAGATCTAAATGTAATCTTATGCCTTGGTGTTTGTTAGTTTTGGTTTATCGGATTTCAATGTAATGTATTGGTCAACAAATATGTAGTTACTTGTTTCCAAATCTATCCAAGCAAATTATTGGAGAACTTAAGTTGATTAAAATAGATGGTGAAACAATGCAGGTCTTTCAAGAATGCCAGACTCGGGATGCTGCTGGGAATTCATTTGAGCTCTCTATGATCGGATGCAAGTGCATTGGAGCTTATGTAAAGAACAAGAAGAATCAGAATCAGGTAAAACCAAAACTCTGTCTATCAAGATTGTCTAGTTTCATATTCTATTTAGATTTTAATAATGGGTAACATTCTTTGTTATGTGGGATGCAGATTTGTTGGATATGGCAGAAGGTCAGCTCAGAAAATGACAGAGGCTTCCAACGTTTCTTGGACAATGTTCAATACAAATCCAGTGGAATCCTACGCTATGAGCGTGTCTTTGGCCAAGGGTTTGTGAGCACTGGTGGACTTGGTAAAAGTTCAATTCGCTTTTGCTTGTGTTGTGTGTGCACGATGTTCTGTGTCTTCATTTATCAGTACTTATGTGTGTTTGTCGTGTTTCTTGAATCAGAGACAACCAAAGAATTTGTGGAGAAAATGAATCTGAAACCAGGACAGAAAGTGTTAGATGTTGGGTGTGGCATTGGTGGAGGTGACTTCTACATGGCTGAGAAGTTTGATGTTCATGTTGTTGGTATCGATCTCTCTGTCAACATGATCTCTTTCGCATTGGAACGTGCAATTGGACTCAACTGCTCGGTTGAGTTTGAGGTTGCTGATTGTACCACAAAACACTACCCAGATAATTCGTTCGATGTCATTTACAGCCGTGACACTATTCTGCACATCCAAGTACTCAACTTGATCTCATAGTTCTCTATTGGAAGTTAATCATTGTGAATGCTTACTCATTTCTCTTTCTTCTTCAGGACAAACCAGCCTTGTTTAGGACTTTCTTCAAGTGGCTTAAACCGGGAGGTAAAGTTCTCATCAGCGACTACTGTAGAAGCCCCAAAACTCCATCTGCTGAGTTTTCAGAGTACATCAAACAGAGAGGATATGATCTCCACGACGTTCAAGCTTATGGAAAGGTTTGTCTTGTTTGTCAAAGATATATTTTTCTATTCTCAAACCTTTTTCTCTAATCCCTTGATGACTAATCTTAAATGTAGATGCTAAAAGACGCTGGCTTTACTGATGTGATCGCAGAGGACCGTACTGATCAGGTAAATGAATCTCATATATACAAATACTGAAAGCAAGGACTAGTGTTTTGTAACCGAGTTTTTTTATTGTTTGTATTTACAGTTTATGCAAGTCCTGAAACGTGAATTAGACAGGGTGGAGAAAGAAAAGGAAGAATTCATATCCGACTTCTCCAAAGTAAGTAGTATCTTTCAATTTCAAAAGAAATAAAAAATTTCATGTTGTTACAATATTATCTGAAGCTGTCTCTTTTTGAATTCGATGTATCTCACAAAGTTGAATAAACGCAGGAGGATTACGATGATATTGTTGGAGGATGGAAGGCAAAGCTGGAGAGGTGTGCATCGGATGAGCAGAAATGGGGACTTTTCATCGCCAGCAAGAATTAAGCAAATCAAAATCTACTACTTCTATGTTTTCCTCTTTCTTTGTTTCTTCAATAAAAAATGTCATTTCCGCTAGGTGATGATATATGCATGTAGTTTTATGTGGACTTGTTGAGTGGTGTTAAATCTCTTCCTTATGTCATATGTAAACCGAATTATGTTTGGTCTGGTCTTAATTTACTATTGATTTGAAGAATTTTCTGAATGCATTTGTGTTAATACTTTTTTTTCAGTTTTGACTTCAGTTACAGTTTGTTTGGTAGAACCGGAATTTTCAAATCGAATTTTTGGATATAGCTCGGTTCAACTCAAACCGAACGAGGCACATCCTTGATGTGGATTGTGTTTGATTCAGCGTTTAGACAATTTGTCCCTCTTATCTAAAAAAACAATTTGTCCCTTTAGGTGTTTTGGGCTTCTAGGCCCCAAAGTATTTCATTCAACTGTATTGAAACAGTAACTTGTTTAAGCAATTCAAAATCTAGATCTCATCACATTACTGATTTTTTTTCATAACCTATCTCACTGGTGTATATATATGTTCTTTTTCCATGGTGGAGAGTTTGTAGGAAGCGTAGCAAAAAATAACTAAATTTTCTTTTTGAAAAAAAAAACATTCCATAGGGTACCCAATAGCCATAGGACTGTGCAACATAGTGTGTGGATGGAGGTAAAGAAAGAAAAGCCTTGAAATCACACACATTCAAAAGACTAGATTCGTCAGACTCCTCCTATTTAGGTTTTGACCCAACCCTACCCTCTCCTATACACACCACCTACTGTTCTATTTCTGTATTCAACAGTGTCAATTCCAATCTCTCTCAGTCAATTTATTTGCAAAATCTATCAACCCATTTTCTTACAATTTTATTATTATCTCCCAATGCTCAACAAAAAAAAAACCATGTTGGATATTGTATTAGTTAATTTTAGAAAGAAGACACAAATCTATAGACCATAATAGCTACGTCCCTCACTCAGTAGCTAGCTAATTAAAATAATATATATATATATATACACAGAGAATTTGATGCAGTCTTACATTGTCAGAATACTGTAAATATAGTGTTGTTAATGTGTGTATATTATTTTGTCGACATGTATATATATATACGTACACATGTGACATATATATTTTGTAATGTTTGATTATGATGACCTCATGATAAGAGAGATCACTGACAATTATACAATAGAAAGCTTGAAAATAGGCTTTAATCATATCTATTTTGATAAATTGGTTCTCGCAAAGAGAGAGAGATGGTAGAAGAGAATGAATCACATGAAGCATTTAAAACCAAAATAGGGAAATTGCAGAGAGGAGCGGGTGAGTCACAGCCAACCAATGGTCCACCTCATGACTGTCACCATTTTGTCCCTCACAGACACACCCCTCCTTCAGTCTTGTCAATTCTCTCTTCTCTCTCTCTCTCTTCATTGTTTTGTTTGTCTCTTCCACCGTTGGAGTTATTAAAAGTGTTCAAGTTATCAATTTATTAGCACTATTCGACTATTTTTGTTTTTAATGTAGATTTTAGTTACATTTTTATATATTTTTGTACGATATGATACATCTAAAAAATAATTATATAAAAATTGGGTTTATTTTAACTAACAATATAGTATTTGTATTTGTTTCATATTTTTGAATCAGATTTATTGATGGATGAGTTTCTTGTTTTAGACTTTAGCGCTATACAGCTAGGAGTTTCTGTAGGTAGAGACAAATACGAATTACCCACGGAGAAAACAATCATGCATGAATAATGCCACGTATGAATCATCTTGAAATTACCCATCATCTAATTCATGCAATATTATTCAAATCATATTATCCTCGAGCTACAATATGTTTCGACATGTAATGATATATGAATTCTTATTTGTAGTAATTAAATCTTATATGCTTATAGTATTACACGTCATTGATGATACGACAATGAATCAAAGGAGCAGACAGAGATTCTTTTATGATCCATGGAAATAACCAAAAGATTATACCGTACGATTACACTTTACCATTAATCTTCATTACAATTCACGAGAAGATTCATGTTTCTTTATTTCCTAACAACAATATCTATTGTTTATAGTTCATAGGATCGTTCGTGTGGTAATCTGTTGACTGTACGCTTACCCATTAATATTTTCTCTTTTTGCTTTTTACTTTTTTCGTATAAATTAATTGATTAAAGTGGTGTTTTTGCTTACTTCCATGCTCGCAAGAATCACAAACACACAATCATCATGGAAAAGAAATAAAGCAAATATACAAAGAGAGGAATAGGGAATGATAATGCATCAAAATAAGCAGTACAAACAAATAAAATTACCCACGATCTTTCTACTAAAACTATTAATAAAGAAAAAGGTCTCATTGAATCGTACAAAGAGACATAAAAGAATGAATGAATCTTTGGGAAAAGAAAGGAAAGTGTCGGGGCTTCTTCCATGAATAAGCTATTCATCAGTTATTTTTCTTTTCCTTTGTCTTGTCTCTTCTCTACTCTAAAAGTCACTCTTCTTTCCTTTTCTCACGTTCCCACTCTCATATTTTGTCATTTTCCCCATTTAAAATTTATGGTGGCTTGGCTAGCTTTCTTTAAATTCTCATTCGTTAATCATACATCCTATGATCTAGCTAATTCCATTTTTGTTTGCATCAAAAGTGAAGCTTAAATTTAGTTTAAAATGTTGTCAATAAAATTTAGTTAAAAAAATGTTGAGTGTTGACAAAAAAATTAGTTTAAAATGTTATGCACAAATTTATGTAAATGCAAATACAAACTAAAAATGTTGGTTTATCAAAGAACTTTTTTTCCCTAAATTATTTTTTTTTGGTCATAACTTTATCAAAGAACTTAATAATTCTTTTGATCATATATTCATACTGGAAATGTTCTGTATGAGTACGTACACATGTAGTATATGATGGGAGGACGTTAAATATGAGGAAGATAATGTATATATAAATAGCAAATGTAAAGGCATATTGTTGGTATGCTAGTGAAGAGAAAACAAAACAAGTCCCAAACCAATAAAATTTTCCCACTCTCTTAGTCATTTCAACATCAACCCAATTCTTTTTGTCTCTCGCGCATTTATAACTCATAGAAACAGATCCCCACATTGACACATGCATACATATATAAACACACCTATATAGATCATGTGTGTGTAGATATTTTTAGGAATAACGCATGAAATTAAAAGATGTTGTAGAGTAATAACGGGTTCCCATTTCGTAACGGAATATCTCATCACCAAAGAACCCAAATAGCCTCATTCACCTACCAAATCAAGCAAGTTTCATGATCCAAACCCTAATTCACCACATCCACACAAATGAAAAACTAATGGGAAAATCACATGATCTTTCTATTCTTTTCTTTAATTATTTGTTTGGTTCATTTTTAACAATTAAAGAAAGTGGTCCAAAGTGCATTTTAAGGCAAACCCTTATGAAATGTTAACATCAACACCATAAAGACACGCCTGCCCTTACTCCTAGACAAAACCCTAATTAACCCCTTTTCACTCTTTCTAACTTGGTTGAATAATTAAACTAATCATCTAATAACACAAAAGGGTGTTTCTCTTGAAAGACTTCAATTATGTTTAGTTCTTCAATGGCAGAAACTCATAGAAACAGTGAATACCATTGATCTCCTTCTCTTTCTCACCATCGCTACAAAACCCTTCTTTTCTCAGTGGAAACAGCTCAAGTGTCTGTTCTTGATGATCCGGTTCACCGTTAGAGCAATCTTGATCATGTCGTTCTTGATCTTTATTTTCATCACAATTTCGACGACAAGTCTCTGTGTTCGCTGCTTCTCTGGTACGTAGAAATACAGGTGAAACCGTGACCGTATCTTTAGCAGCAGAAACAGTGATGTTGCTATTGGACATGTTGGAGGAAACAGTAGTTGAATTGAGAATGAGGTTACGTTGATGATGAAGATGTGAAGAAGGGTAGAAACCAAGTGGCAACTGCATCATCTGCCACGTGGTGTTTATCCCTAAAAAGCTTCGTCTCTCTTCTCCTCCACAACGACCATTGCTCCCGACCCGCATATTCGCTGGCTCCTCCTCATGATGATGATGGGAAGGAGGTTTCTAATTATGCAAAGAAATAACATTCAAGATTTTTTTAAAATTAGTCAAATTAGCATTGGAAAATGTAAAAATTGGTAACAAAATAAGTCAAAATCTTGGCAAAGCGACAAACTTTATGCTTAAAACAAATTCCAGATAGGGACAGGGGTGAAGGAGAATGAGACCGTTAAAGACCAGGGTCAAAACGGTCTTTTCAAGCATGAGTGAAAAGCACATAAATTTATGGGAATTCAGCATAAACAAGAAGACACAGCTAAAGGATCGAACGTACGTAGCAGCTGTCCCGACAGAAAGGAAAGTCTCTGCAGCTTTTTGGATGAATGCATTAATCTTTTTTGAAATATACTATATTCAAACAATGAAAACCATAATCAATGTATATGCTAAGAATAATATACTTGTTTTTGCATATGCTACAAAAATACTACTTATTTTGAGTTTCCCGATAAATTAACTTTTTGGTCTTTTCCACCGCCTCATCTCTCTGCCTTTGTTGTTTTTCTTGCAAACTTACCCAAACTTCCAAAAAAGAATTCACTTATTCTTAAGAGATTCTATTTGTAATCATATGCTACTTATGTAATCCCTCAACCCTTAATTACACTCCCTATCATGAGATCGACCATCAAGAACATTATGAACACATAATATGAGCAACATAATACATATCATAAAATATATTCATAGTTATCAATTAAACAAACATATGTATAGATTTTTAACAAAAAATAATAATATATGTATAGATAGATATGTATATACCTCTGGTTGTGTGTCGCATCCGATCGAACATATCCAGTTCTTGGACTGTTCAACCTTGTAACCTGCAAAATTAAGATATAAATGTCAATTTTGAAATGTAATCAACACAAAAAAACATTATAATACAAAAAGACTTTAATTTTTACAAAAGGCCCCAAGTTCTGTTTCTATGGTCTCTCACCTGGCGGATCTTT